AATCTTAAGAGATATTCAGGACGACACGAGTGAAGTCTCAGGAAAGATGTAGTCCTAACAACATACAATAGTGATGTACGCATGTATCTAAGATGGGGTCCAAACCTCGTTAAGCATCACTAAGCTCCACAGCAGTAGTCTGTGCTGGAACCTGTGCAAGATAACATTCACAAGTCATCTACAAGACGACATGAATAACAAGTTTACAAAATTCAATCATAAAAATTAGGTTTCCAGAATAGTAAAGAGGAGGGTCAGTTTTGAAGAACTGCAGGACCTCAGGAGACTGAGTGACTAGGCAGTGAAAGGAGACGGAAAATCCAAGCCGAAAAGACATGAAATTAATGAGAAAAGTATCCTAGTTTTCTATATTTAATGATGGATTTGTCTTAAGCACTCCAGAATGAGATATTGACTATATATATATATATATATATAAACCCCCACAAAACAAAAAAACAACAAAAACCTTTGGCCAAAGTAAGAAAGGTCAGTATCCCAGAAACATAATTTGTCCACTCTTCCCAGAAATGCAAGAACAGCAATGCAAGATTAGCCAGGGCTCTGGGAGTGCCAAGTGGATGCCATATACAGGACAAGTACGCTGTGGTATTTCTTTAGGATACTCTTCTCACATCCCATTCTTCCTCCCGTTACTGTATCAGATGAACTGAACACTACTAAAGTGCCATTTGAGGTGTAAATGACCTTTGTCATGAAACCTTCTCATTTCTGTTCATCTTCTAGGAGGTCTGTAAGCATGGGCTATCTATCACAGAAAAAAAAAGAAAAATCACATTCTACAACTATATGACAGCTTATAACGCCTGTCTGGAAACAAGCCTGGGGCAGAGCTTATATAGCAATAAACACCTCCCCCCAGATCTTCACAGTTGTTCTCCTCCTGAGTAAGCCAAACTTTGCTTTGATTCCTCATGAATATTCACAGGAACTTCACAGGAAGGTTGCTGACAGAAGCACCATCTCTAGCGCTTAGAGTTTCCTTCAACGATTGAGCCTCATCAAAGCCAAGCTAAATGACTGTAGCTATTCCCAACACAGCACTCCTAGTTGTGGTTAATCACTGCTAGGAAGTGTTTTAGGTCAGGGGGTGGCGGGGTAATTAGGGGGACCAAAACCATGGAAGAAAACAGGAATGTAACTAGACACTGTTGGATCCTGATTGGGTCCTCTGGGCTCCCTCTCTGATGGTCTTCACATCCAAAAAGTGAGTGAGCCAAAAAGTCAGCTTTGACTCGTGATCATGAGGGCAAGCAGAAGGTGGTGGGTTCCACAAGCAGAGAGGCAAATACTTCTGCCCTCCGGTGACTACGACCCTTCGTGCCCATCACCTGCTCGTAACCTCGGAGCGACTCTTCCCCCGTGCGGTGGTAGGGCAGGGGAGGGAAGGCAGCTGGATTAAAACCGAATTAGTAGGGAAGAAGCAAGAGGTTTCTTTTCATCCAGATCAGTCCCGTACAAGCACATCTGCCAACAGAAAAGCCTGTGAGCCTTCCAAGGCGAGGTAGGATCGACTGTCTGGAGGTATAAAACACCACAAGGTGGCAAAGCTAAACACAAACATTCCGGGATTTGTACTGGTCTACAGTGATAACTGAATGCCAAGGAAACCTGAACCAAATACCAGCCAAGCAGAAAATATCATCCTCTGAAGCAACATTCCAGAAGAGATTGTGTTATATTCTGCAGAAGAATAGTGGCTAAACCCCAGGCTGTGCTGCCTGGTGCTTGCTTGGAGAGCACATAAGGTGCTCACTCGGTACTTGTAACGATGATGACAAAAAATGCCTATTAAAATCAGGAAGGAGATTTTGTTATGCAGAAGATGCTGCTCTTGCCACCACCCCCCACACTCCAGCACACAAAAGTATTTGTGTAAGATTGTGCATCATGGCTTTGGAAGGGCAGAAAATTGTTAGAGATTTTCCACCTTCATGCCATTAAAAAGAATTTTTGCTAGTTTGGTCCTAGAAGTAGCACTTCACATAAATGATTGTTCCTGAATGTTTTGCTGTACTAACTGGAAGTGGACTGTGAGCTAGTTCCAAGGAGCGTGCCTGCTACGGGCAGTGGTAGCACAAGCCTGCCTTCTATGAGAATCTTCCCTGAAAGCCTATTTGGCTCCAACACTGTCTGTGTAAATCTTTCCAAGAGGAAATTTTCCAGCTTCTCTTCCAAAAACTTCTTGGTCTTAAAAAGACAAAGATGAAACAACATGCCAATGCCCGGCCTTGGCTACGACAAGGATGCCTGTGCTGCTATCACCATGCCTACAGAAAGCTATCCTTATTTCAAAGGATAAACCTATCAAACAAAACCTATCCGTGATATAATAAAATTTACAAGCCTGAAACTAGCTTAATAAGCACAAGGAATGCTATCACTGGACTTGCACCGCATTCTCCTGCAGTAAGAGATACCTGAGTGCAGGATCAGCCTCTACACTGGGTGGAAAACTGGCCGGATGGACGGAGACAAAGAGTTGTGGTGAATGGAGCTAAATCCAGTTGGCAACCGGTCACAAGTGGTGTTCCCCAGGGCTCAGTATTGGGGCCAGCTGTGTTTAATATCTTTATCAACAATCTGAATGAGAGGATCGAGTGCGCCCTCAGTAAGTTTGCAAATGACACCTAGTTGGGTGGGAGCGTCAACCTGTGTGAGGGTAGGATGGCTCTACAGAGGGACCTGGACAGGCTGGATCGATGGGCTGAGGCCCATGGTATCAGGTTCAACAAGGCCAAGTGCTGGGTTCTGCGCTTGGGTCACAACAGCCCCATGCAGCGCTACAGGCTTGTAAAAATTAAAACTCAATTTTGCTGTAGTCACAAAATGACCTATACACGTGTGCAGGCATATATATATGAGACACAGTAACACCAGACTCCTGCCATGTCCTTGCAGACGTAACTCCAGATACATGTCTGGAAGAGAAGATATTAGTCAGGTGGGTAACTTCTGCATTGAGGACTGGAGAAAAAAAACAACAAACAAAACAACACACAAACAAATCTGCGACAGATGAGTTCTGATTGAACCTTCGGAAGTTATTCTTCCCATAAGGAGCAGCATGTTGTCTGTGCTGTCTCATGCCTCTGATGCCCCAGTGAACCACTCTGTTGAGACTGTTCAAGGCAGAGCTGTGAGCACAAAAGCAGCTTTCACACTACTTATCCCTCTGGGAAGGCGTGCTCACACCGTGGGGACTGCCGCTGCTCCGCTGCAGCAATCCAAGAAGAATGTCTGTGGATGCGTATGTCTGGAAAAAAACACCACCGCAGCTACATCAGCTAGATTTTGTCAGTCAGAGATTCAAACCTGACTCCAAGCAATGCTTCTCTAAGCCTCCAAGCACTATTTCCCAAATCAAAATTAAAGAAGAAGCTGGAACAAGTCTCTGCAGTCGATTCACGTCCATGGGAATTTCTAGTCTTCATTTAAACAAGACTGAACGATTGCAGTCAAGTTTCAGAAAAATATTAGAGACCACAGGCTGATGTGTACTAGCACTATGAAAAATGATTAGCTCATTAATTCCAGGCATCGTATTCATTTCAAACTCATCACACAGCCTTAATTTTGCAAACAGATGCACTAATATAGATCCGAACATCACCGAGATTAGCAATTCTCTTCACATGCAGAGAACAGAGGGAGAGGAGCATGAGAGAACTGGTGAAAGACTAGAAAACATAGTGCTAAGGTCCACTCTGATAATGAAGATAAGTGACAGAACAGACACACATACAGTTCGATGCAAAACAAATTTTGCTAAAGACTGTAGTTAATTTGACTGTACTTAGCAAAAGGAAAAGAAAATAAAATATCAATAACACAGTGAATTAAAAAAGCACAATCAAATACTACCAGCAAGACTTTTAGGGCTCTTAGATATCTAAAGGATGAAAAGTCCTCTAAAATACAATGTTAAAAAAACCCTGGATAAAATAGGAAGACAAAAAAAAGTACAACTATACATCTAGGATTAAGAGAGTTCTCTAAAAGTAGAATAGTCACAATAAGTGGGGAACAAAAAAATCTTTTTTTTTTAAATTAATTTTCTATTCTACTAAATATATAATTAGGAAAATAGGTTAAAAAAAACCAAACCAAACAAACAAAAAAAAACCCAAACCCAAACAAACCCAAACCCTCACTCTGCCAAAAGGGCTACAAACGACTTTTCAAAATCTTAGGTCCAATCTTAGGTTCTAGTCTTGAGTTTTTGGAACTCTGTTATTAACACCACCATTGCACTCCTCAGTGCTGCCATTTCTAAGTTGATCTGTGGACATCTCTTCTGTGAAAGATGAAGGACGTTGCATTTTTTTGACCGCATGCTATTTTGCAGTCTGTTCACATGTGTACGTGGATGAACACCTCCTTCAGAACATAACAGTGTTCCACAAGCTGAAAAGCTGATTGAGAAATAATGCTGTAACGCCAAGGAATAATTCAGTAAAATGAGTTTAGGTACTTTTTAAAACTTTTTTCCTAATTGTAAAAAAGGGCAGAAATTTATTTCCAGTAAGTCAGAAAATATTTTGTTATTGTCAAGAACTAACATACCTCTGATAGGTGACAGGACACGTGACAAGCATGTGTGTTTTTAATTCATTATTAATGTTGTCCCAGTAGCAAAGAAAGATTTTCAAGCTTTATGGAGCACTACTTTGCCAGAGAAAAGGAAGTATTTTACGTTTCTTCTTCTGTTGCACTGCTGTTTTTGTCATTTCCCCACATTATAGTTAGTCTAAAAAATGCACATCTTTAAAACCTTTGCATAGATATAAATATTCCAACGCATACTGAGTATATATATGTATAGGAGTGAGAAACATAAAAGCGCTTCAGTATGAGTTGCAGTATTTAATGCCTTAAGACTATTTTCAACAGCGAGCCCCAAAATACGTCTGAAGGCTCCTGCAACAGTTGGCCAAGACAGACACCACTGTTTTCCTAAAACATTGTCAAATACTTACTGTGCAGATACTGAGCAATGTTAATTATCCGCTCATCTGTCAACTTCCCGGCTTTCGTTATCTTGGTACACTTCAGCTGACTTGAAAGATCTCTTGATTCAATCCAACAAATTGTGTCCTCTTTGTAGCTATAGTCCAGTGTCAAAATTGCAGATCCTTTTACAGGAGTTTGGGCAGATACTTTGCTTCCATTAAGATATAATACCTCAATTGCTTCAGAGCTTGCAATCAGAAGAAGAGGAGGTCTATCAGCAGGCTCTAAAAACAAAGTAAAGAGAACTTAAATGGTTAACAGACTGTGTATACCATATTTATCTTTTCAGTTTTAACGTAGTTTTTAATGTTCTTACCTGCAGGTTTTAAGAGATATAATAAATTGGTTTTGTTTTTATTTTCATAACTATCATATATTCCAAATTACTAGTCTATTTTATCCTGCTGTTCTAATGGTTCACATCATTAAAGAAAATTAATTACCCCAGCCCCACAGCTTCTGTTTAATTCCAAGTATCATTATTGCAACATTTTTCATACCTAAGTCATAAAATGAAATACAAGTTATGCAAATTATTTCTAACCAGATTACCGGCATTTCTGAAAAAACAAAGGCCAGGAATACCTGCAGAACTTATAAGAACACATGAAATAGTAAGGTACTTTTTATATTAGAGTCTGCAAAATAAGACAAAAACTGAGGAGTAGATGCTGCTAAGTGAAATAAAAACCAACCTGACAAAAAAACCCAACACAGCAAAACCTGACTGTGTCATACAGCTGATGGGCCTAATGCCACGCAGTGTAAGGGAGAAAGTGTCATGCAATGGAGTGTCCTGACAGCAAAAAGGGAACGTGTACTTTCCATTGGGTTATCATTAATGTCACAATAAACACGCAGACAAAACCCATAAAGGCGCAATTCATATTAAGATATGACATGCAACTTAAAGTGTTCTCCCATTCAGCTGAATCACTTTGCCTAGAAATCCTGCTAGTAATTTAAAAAAATACTCGAGAAATAAGTGAATAATGAAGGAAACAATAACACCCAATAGTGAACAATATGCATTTTAAAATACAAAATGTTCCAGTTCAAGTCAAAAATTTTAAAAGTTCAGTTGTCCACACAGAGGAACAAACAATTCTCCTTGAAACAAAGTATTTTTAGCATTATGATGGGTGCTACTGGGTACAACAGCAGCTGTTCTTGCTTTAGGTGTATCTTTAATTGCATTACTGTCTTGAACATCCAGGGCTGGTTTGAAATTACGCATGTGACTTCGTCAACTGCAAATGAGTATTAGTCTCTGTAGGATGAGGAGTCTGTTATATGTGCTGTATTTCCTACACCGCTGAAATTGAAAGACTTCTTGATCTAGATCTAAACTTTAAACTGAAATAAGGTCCCAGTTAATCCAGAACTGTCAGGAGGACATCTATATCAAAACTATATGCAAGTAGTTTTGTTCTTTTTCTGGGAAGAATTCCTTCATTATCATAGAATCATAGAATTGTTACGACTGGAAAAGACCTTTAAGTTCACCAAGTCCAACCGTTATCTCACTCTACCAGGCCCACTTCTAAACCACTGTTAAAGAATTTCACCGGACTGTGGGTACCTCTAGGTTTGCTGTATTAACAACTCAGAGTTGGGCCACCACCTCAGCGAGTGGCCAGCGGCTAACAAAATACATCTTCTATATATCTGATTCTAGATAACATTACATAATTGATATTTCCGTCTGGCAAGCTCTTAGTGTTTCTTTAAAGTCTCCCAATTCTTCATTCTCCACTAGTTCCAAAAGTTCATTAATTTTCAGCTGACTCTTATCGTTCTGTTCCAGTTTCTCTTCTGAATTTGTAGCTCAGTGGTCATATTGTCTTTAAGCACCTGCATTCTATTAATCAACCTTATACAATTACATCTATTCTTCAATCATTCTATTATTCTCAAAATATACATAAAAAAACTAACAAGGCCTAAGTTACTTAAATCATTCAAAAGCTTATTTCTTTTACAATTGCTTATTTCTTTTACAACCACGTCCCTGAGCACTATATCTAGAGGGCTTTTAAATACATCTGAGGATGGCGATTCAACTGCTTCCCTGGGCAGCCTGTCTTTGATAACCCTTTCAGTGTAGAAGTTTTTCCTAATGTCTAACCTAAATCTCCTCAGAGACCGACCCCCACCTCTCTACACCCTCCTTTCAGCGAGCTGTAGAGAGCGATAAGGTGTCCCCTCAGCCTCCTTTTCTCCAGACTAAACCACCCCAAGTCCCTCAGCCGCTCCTCATGAGACTTATTCTCAAGACCCTTCAGCAGTTTTGTTGCCCTTCTCTGGAGACACTCCAGCACCTCAATGTCCTCCTTATACTGCGGTGCCCAAAATTGAACACAGTACTCAAGGGAACACTAGAAACAGTAGGGTAACATTGCTTTGCTTCAATTTATAATGAAGAACTGCTGTTCACGTAACATATTATGTGAATTGGCTGGAAAAAAGAATCAGACAGATATTTGTGATTAAAATAGAGGATAGAGAAACTGCTTCCTGACAAAAAACCCTTCCTATTAGATATTCTGCGTTCAGAGTCCTTCTCCAACCAAGATCGAGCTCATGCAGGACCTTGCGAGAAGATTCTCTGAGCGAGGAAGATATGGTGACCCGAAAAATTGCTTCAGGTTTAACTGATATAACAGCAATGTCTGATTTTGCAATGAGGTATGTTCATGGGAATCACTGAATGGAAAGCTCTCCTTTGTAACATGGTCAACACCACCACAGCATGCCTATTTGACCGGTTCATTTGTTAAATTCAATAATGTTGTCAAACGGGCAAACTTTTGGACGTTGTAATTAACAAAACTACCCTAAAATATAGAAACTGGCTGTCGTGGTTTCAGCTGGGATGGAGTTGACTTTTTTCGCTGGCAGCTGGTATAGTGCTGCGTTTTGGATTTGGGATGAGAAATGGTGCTGGTGGCGCACTGGTGGTTTTGGTTGTTGCTGGGCAGTCGGGGCCTTTCCTGCTACTCACACCGCTTCACCAGTGAGTAGGCTGGGGGGGCACAGGGGGTTGGGAGGGGACACGGCTGGGACAGCTGACCCCAACTGACCAAAGAGATGTCCCATGCCGTATGAGGTCATGCTCAGTGTACAGAGCTGGGGGAGGAGGAGGGAGGGGGGATGTTCAGAGTTAGGGGGGATGTTCAAAGACCACGTTTGTCTTCCCAAGTCACCATTACGCGTGATGGAGCCCCGCTTTCTTGGAGACAGCTGAGCACCTGCCTGCTGATGGGACGCAGGGAATGAATTCCTTGGTTTTTTGGCTTTTGCTCTGCTTAGTAAACTGTCTTTATCTCAACCCATGAATTTCTTCTCACTTTTACTCTTCTGATTCTCTTCCCCATCCCAACCAGGGAAGTGAACGAGTGGCTGTGTGGTCCTGGTTGCTGGCTGGGGCTGAACCACGATGCTCACATGGCAAGCATGTGTGAAAAATATTTGTGTTGCCAAGTCAAGAGCTCTCACCCCAGTGTAATCTGCTTGTATTCAAAGGAATAAATCAATGTTTAAATACTGTATTGAAATGTAGCACTTTCAATCAACATTCTACTTAATAAAGTTTTCAAAATTTTACTAAGCAATTCCAGCTGTCTAAATGGAGAAAAAAAAAATTGCATAAATAAAAGGATTTGGCAAATAATACTTCATCAGCAAGTCTGATTAAAGAGAAAAATTGCTTCGGTGAATACACTGCTCAGAGGTCTCACTGAAATCCACAGAAGTAGGTGTTAAATTCCGTTCTTTGATTTGGTACTACCTGCTTGTATTTAAACATTTCCTTTGCTGACTTTTTTTTTTTTTTGTTATGTGAAGAAGTTCTCTGCTATAACAGATCATGTATTCTTTCTAAAGTGGAT